TTATAAGTTTGCTAAAAGTAGTGAGAGCGGTGATCCCATGGGAAGTCCAAATATTTGTTCATGGATGTTCCCTTTGAATGTAAAATAGGTGGTCCTTGTTGTCAAGTTGATTAGTCTTGTTAACGACTCCCTACCGATCCGTTGTGATTCCAAGATATCCTCTTCCCGAACTAGCATTTCCAGCAGGGTCGGTAGCGCATTTTCTCAGTAGGTATTTGTATACATCGATTCCACATCGAAACTTACCAATAAATTCGTTTCTTCCAGTGACATGTGTTTGATTTATTGAGAAAATTCATATGAATGTTTCACCGTTTAATTCCTTGAGTTTCAAACATATAAACTTTGTCAATTTGTGTGTTGCTCCATACTTGTTGTTGAGTATCAGCCTTAGTGGCTCAACTTCTTTGTGTGGTGGTTTTTCTGTTGGTGGTTTTGCATCCTTTCTTATGATTAAATTTCTTGTTCATGCGTCAATTTCCCCATTCATATGCATATCTTTTAGCATGGCACTTAAGATTCCATTGATCTTCGTAGCTGGTTCCTTACTTAGTATACGATATGTGGTGCTGTCTTGTAGAATTTGTTCCATCTTCTCGGTATATTGTTTTTTGTACATTATCACTGTAGCTTCTCCTTTGTCCGCCTGAAGGACTAATTGTTCATTTTTTTCCAGGGCTTTGCGTATCACAGAAAATCTGTTCCTGTGTGTAGGCTCCTGATGTGTCAAGATATTTGGAATTAGTTCCATCTCCATTTCCTCTTTTGTCTCCTCGGGGAACTTGTCAGCGATATTGATAACCTCCCCCGGATGTCTCTTAGAACGCTTCTGTGATGTTGAATTGAAAAATTGAGTGCTTTTTCCGGCAACTCGGTTGTTTCGGGATTGAGAGGAATTGATGATAAGTTTAATACACTCTTCCTGATCAGTAAATGTTGTCACCTCGGAAGCTACTTCAACTGGGTGTACTGGCTTTAACTTAGGTTGTTTTATAATCCCAAACTTACGCAATTTATCGTCATGCCGTTTTGTTATTAGGTAAAAAATCCTACGTGATTTCGGGTCGGTCATTCTCTGGAGATTTTGAAAATCTTCCGAAGACAGGATCCTGGCCAAATCTCGCCGGAACTTTGACTTAATATCTATAAACTTAAACAAATAATTCCGTTCTATATCACAGGTCTCCCTTAGTTTCCGAATAGAAGCCTGGTGGAGATACTCATTAACCTTATCCGAGTGGTAGGGTCTCTTAAGGTCAGATAGGTA